GGAAAAATCGGAATGAAAGTAGGCTGAGAGTTCGAGGGAGGATAAGGAGCGAGAGCAGCAGCCAAGTAGAGAAAAGGCGGAAAGAAAATAATAAAGGTATAATCTGCCAGTAGCAGGCAACTAGACCAGTCTCGCACCGTCAAGCAAATAAATAATGTATGCCAGCAGGACCGTCGACAAGGGCCACATAAGAGGTTGAGAGTTGCCAGCAGGAGGTCAGCGGCAGTCGTGCTTCCCATCAGTCCAAGTAGGTCACAGCCGAGTGAAAAGGCAGACAGCATCAGTCCAAGTAGGTCACAGCCGAGTGAAAAGGCAGACAGAGGAAGAAGCAGCCGAGAAAAGTTGAGATTGAAAGGTCACAGCCAAGTGAAAATGCAGCGATAATAATACAGGCAGAGAGGAAGAAGCAGCCAAGAAAAGTTGAAGATTGAAAGTAAATTAGGGAACCCATGAGGAGCAAAGCCGCAGGCGAGAGGACTCAGAGTCAGGAGATCAGCAGCCGAGTGAAAATGCAGCAGCGATAATAGAGGCAGGAGGAAGAAGCGGCCAAGGCCAAAGAGAATAAAGCCGCCAGCAATAAGTAAAAGAGGCAGGCAGGAAGAAAGCAGCCGCCAGCAAATACCACACATAATAGAGTAAAAGAGGGCAGGCAGGAAGAAAGCAGTCCAAGAAACGTTGAAGATTGAGAGGGGAGGGAATAAGGGGAGCCGCCAGCAAATACCACACATAATAGAGTAAAAGAGGGCAGGCAGGAAGAAAAGAGTAGGTCACAGCCGAGTGAAAAGGCCAGACAGCATCAGTCCAAGTAAGGTCACACAGCCGAGTAAAAAGGCAGACAGAGGAAGAAAAAGGGCAGTCCCAACCGAGTGAAAAGGCAGGCAGACAGAGGAAGAAGCAGCCGAGAAAAGCTCCAGCCGCCAGCAAATACCAAAGGGCAGTCCAAGTAGGTCACAGCCGAGTGAAAAGGCAGACAGAGGAAGAAGCAGCCGAGAATAGCTCCAGCCGCCAGCAAATACCACTACCACACATAAATAGAATAAAGAGGGCAGGCAGGAAGAAAAGAGGGGAAGAAGCAGCCGCCAGCAAATACCATAAATAGAGTAAAGGGGGCAGGCAGGAAGAAAGGGCAGTCCAGAGGTCACAGCCGAGTGAAAAGGCAGATAGCATCAGTCCAAGTAGGTAAAAAGGCAGCCGAGAAAAGTTTGAAGATTGAAAGGTCACACAGCCAAGTGAAAATTGAGAGGGGAGGGAATAAGGAGTCCAGTCCAGTCAGCAATACCCACACATAATAGAGTAAAAACGTTGAAGATGGAGAGGAGTCCAGCCGCCAGCAAATACCACAACATAATAGAGTAAAGAGGGCAGGCAGGAAGAAAGGGCAGTCGCAAGCTGCCAAGGAAAAGGCCACAGGCCAAAGAAAATAAGGAGTCTAGCGGAGTTTCAGAGTCGCCAGCAAGAGGAAGATCCACAGTCCCCCCCCCCCCTCACGCCAACCAGCCCCAGTGGTCAGGCGTGCCCTCCATCAAAAGGAGCCAGCCAGCCAGCCAAGCCGCTCCTTCCAAGAAAAATGGCTGCAAGTAAAAAAAAGTTAAAAAAATGCCCCAGCGATCAGCGGCAGACGCGTCCAAGGAAGATCACAGCCGAGTGAAAATGCAGCATCGGAGTTTCAGAGTCGCCAGCTGGAGGAAGATCTACAGTCCCCCCACGCCAACCCCCAGCCCCAGTGGTCAGGCGTGCCCTCCATCAAAAGGAGCCAGCCAGCCAAGCCGCAAAGGGGCTTCGACTGAAAAAGGAAATCAGGACACAATAAAAATCGCTGCAAGTAAAATGGCTGGAAAAGTAGTGGGGTGAAGAAAATAAATGAAAACGTTATATTGGAGGATATGAAAAAGGAAATCAGCGAGACCCCATTGAAGGAAATTAATATGGAGAATTTGAGAAGCAGACGACACAGTGAAAAAAGAGAAAATGGCTGCAAGTAAAAAAAATCAACTAGGCCCAAAAAAGAAATTATGATTTAAATTAAAAATGACTGGGAAAAGTTAGTAGTTGGGGAAGAAGAAAATAAAGGAAATCAGGACACAATAAAAATCGCTGCAAGTAAAATGGCTGGAAAAGTAGTGGGGGAGAAGAAAATAAATGAAAACGTATTGATATGAAAAAGGAAATCAGCGAGACCCTATTGAAGGAAATTAATATGGAGAATTTGAGAAGCAGACGACACAGTGAAAAAAGAGAAAATGGCTGCAAGTAAAAAAAAATCAACTAGGCCCAAAAAAGAAATTATGATTTAAATTTAAAATGACTGGGAAAAGTTAGTAGTGGAGAAGAAGAAAATAAATGAAAAAATAACGCAGCAATGAAAGATAAGAGAAATGGAAGGAAGCAACAGACACAATAAAGGGGCTGCGAGTGAAAAAAGAAATCAGCGAGGCAGGCAGGACACAATAAAAAGGAAAGTGAAGATGGAGAAAGGAAATAGGAACAAGTCGGAAAAAGCTGTCAAAGAAATGTATGCCAGCAGGCATTGCGGGAGAAGATCTCACGCTCAGCGTTCTTCTCAAGTCGTATAAGAAATATGAGGCAGCGACGCTAGCAGGTCCGTCATGTCGAGGAAAATGATGAGTCCAGCGGCGGGCGCTCCAGCGCAGTGGGTGTCCACAATCAAATAATTAAAAGGATCGAAAGAGGCCCCAAGAAAGAAATTAGGATGGAAAAGTGAAATAACAGAATCCAAATCTGTGAATGAAAATATCAGCACCGGCTCCGAAATGTAGATGCGACCCACAGAGTAATTGATCTCACGTCCTCCTGCACCCCGCTCTAGGCGACCTTTCTTTATTCTCTGTCGTTCTGTCTTTCTGTGTGTTTAGCTGTAGCATCTAAACTGACGAGCCGATCTGGTTAAAATTTCTCACGTGGGTTATGCTGTTACCCCAGTAAAAAGCGCGTTTCACCCAAAGAATTGGTGTTTTGTTTAAATAGCATCAGCGAAAAAAATGCCCGCCGATCGTTGAGGAAGTTTTAGTTTTTTCTCGATTTGTCCAAGGTCACAGCCGAGTGCAATTGATTTTGATAACCTTACGGTGGTATCGCTACCAGGTAGTTTGTATTGTAACCTTTTGCTTTTATTTATATATCGGTACTATTTTTGTGTTTTCTAATTAGCAAATAAATGAACTCCCTCTCTTTCCACTACAGTACTTTAAGTGTGTACAAGCACCAGTCTCTATTTTAATACCGCAACGCCTACAGATTGATCCAAAGTTAAATATGTGCGAGATCGTGGCAATTGTCTTTCTTTTATGCATTGAGAATTTAGCTTAGTAACTAATTGCTTAGCGGGAAACTTTGAAGAAAAAGTTTCATCTCAACGAGGGTGAGAATTCACTGTCGTTGACAAATGGCTTTCAACGCATAAAATGTAATTTGAGGGATTTATCCATCGCTACTCACATCCGTGATTGGAGCGAGAAGTTTTTAATAATTTTCATTAGTTGCGTGTCATCGGAGCACACGTGAGAAACCATGGCAACTACTGAATACGTGCTTCAATTACATATGTAACTGATCAAGAAATGAATGCATACAAAGTTATCTATATATGAAGGTAATTGTATTGAAACAAATGAAAATACTGCGTGCAGATGGATGAGTGATATATTAGGCTAGCGGACTAAACCAGTCAAAAATTATGCCCGTAATCGATTATTGCTGAATCGCCCAGCAACGGCTGTACTTGACAACAGAATAATTTCTGACTGGAAGAAAGCATTTCTACTATAGATTCGGAAAATGATTGAATGAAAAAAATATGTTGCAGCCACTAAGCTAAATGAAGAAATATTCAAAACCGTTAGTATATAATCTACTAAAAATACATACAGCAACGCACAAACAGAAATACTGCATTGTTTGGAAATTATCACTAAAACTGGAAAATATATAGAGACCATAGGAAACTCTGACGGTAGAAAAAGATTTTATTATCCGAATATGGATTTATGATATTGATTTTTTTTTTATTGAGAAAGATGGAAATATTTCCTGAATCAACTTTTTGAAAATTTCAGTAAATTACACATTTCACAAAAATTACATCCAGTTAGACCCAGGTATAAAATGTTGGCGAAATCATATTGACATGTTTGGCAAATAATCTAACATAAAATTCAGGTTGTCATCTACTGTTTGACATACTATTTAATATACAGAACAATAAACATAAACAAATTTGTGCACCATCTCTTAATAGAAAATCCAATCGGATGTTGAAATACGTTATTTAAAAAGTGAGTTAATTTAAAAATATGTTTAAAATTAATGTATTTTTTACAGTATACAATATTTAATGTGCATTTTGCTATCAATATGAAATTACAAATATAATATGAAAGAATCAAGAATTTTAGTGCAATTGTAACAACGGAACGTATATATGAATTGCTGATTATTACATATAACACAATAAATGGAGGTTATAACACTAGACATAAAAGAAATTTAATTAAACACTGTATCACTAAAATACTATTGGTTTTAATTGCCTAATAATGTGTGATTCAATTGCGATTAACTTGCCAAGATTTCAAGTATTCGAATTCGACAATATCATACAAACATATTGAGAGTGGAAGACCAAAATAATTTCGGCCAATGCACAGTTTCAAAAGTGAAGTATTCAAGTTAAAAACTGGTAATTTACCTCTTCAATCAATACAACTGGCATTTTGTGTTACTTTTATCACAGTAACAGTCATTCTATATTAATATTCCGTCACGCATTAGAGAACAATATGTGCATTTCAAATTACAACTTCACTGATTTACCAGTATCTCAATATCACATTGTTAGTAGTACATCTACTGAATTTTGTGAATGAACAATTTGGAAGCAGCAAACAGGACATCAAGTGTGATTGGAATGTGGGTAACAAATTACATCAATTGCACTGTATTCCTATTAATTTCATGCTTAAAACACATTCTCAGTCTCTCAGATGAGTAGAAAATTATTTGAATCAAATTGTAATACATGCATTTATCAAAATAATAATATATGAATTCTTAGCAAGCCTTAGGTAAAACTTATACCATATTAGAAGATATAAATCAACAATGATATCAAGCATTAATCAAAATTCCTAAACCTGTGTGGAGGCAGTTAAATCCAGTCCACTGAGTTTCACGGATCGTGGGGTTTCTGTATTCGGAGAATTATGTTTCGATCTCGAAGAACTTTTTTGTGCACTATAACGCCTTGCTTCAGTATCCCAATCATGCATAGGATCAGGTGGAGATCTTCTAGTCTTGTGCCTACCTCCATGTTGATGAGATGACTGTTGTTTAGCTCCGACTGCTAACTTATCCCTTGCTACTGTTGTTGTCACTGGAAGTGGGGACACAAGACCATCTCCAATTGTTGTAGAACTTTCCCTTTTTGGCCTTCCATTCATGCTTGAAGACTTCGATGAGCTTCTACGATTACCAGGTGAACTGTGTCCTCGACTATGGCGACGGAGCTTTAACGGCAAAGGGTTGCCTTCAGTTTTAATTTCTGTGTAAGGAATATCCTGAAGCTGTTCTTCTGTATAGTTACTCGGATCTTCTTGTTCTTTTTGAATATGTTTCCAAAGTATATGCTGTGCAGTTGCATCTTCTCTTGATAATCGATTCATTTTCTTTCTTGTTCTTTTGTGCCTGCTATGATTAGATCTAGTATCAGATTTACCATCATCTGACCTTACCCCATCTGTTTTAGCACCAGTCCTTTCACGAACTCCATTGACTACATTCAATTGTGCATTAATATCGTCAGTCCGATTCAAATTCATATCTAACATTTCTGTGTCGGTATGATATGCCCTTCTGCGTCTTCTTCTTACACCCTCACCTTCACTTCCACTGTTATCACCCCTGTTGCGATTTCTCGATCGTATCCTTCGGCGGCTTGGCCCATCAGACTCTTCTCCACTAGATTTTCCATGCCTTGATCTTGTCTTACGGTGTTTGTTCTCAGAGTCACTCAGCGATTGTAAGTGTCTGTTTCGCTCCCTTCTTTCACTTTTAGGAGTTATGTAATTGTTGCTAATTCCTCCTTCTGTTGTCGTTCCAAACATACCTTTCCTTTCGAGTAAATTTTCATCACTAATGCTTCTTTGATCTCCATTCAAACCCACTGTTTTAAAAACTTCACTTTGAGATGTTGATTTGGATGTGTAACCATTTTCTGTTCTCTTTGGATTCATTGATATTCTATAGTTTTCTTGTGTATTTATTGATGAACGACTTGGATACCTTTTGCTCCTGTTTCTCAAGACTTCAGGTTCCTCTCGATCAGTTTGAGAATGAAGCATCTCGGCCTCAGTACGACCACTATACCTAAATTTTTTCCCTAGAAGAGATGTAGAAGATACTGCATTGTCACTTTGAACAAGTCGGAAGAAAGCATGCTGTTCGATTGATCTTTTCCAGAGATATTTGCTGGCCGGTCGCGAAGGAGTGATAAATAAATAAACAGAATCATCACAATTTTTATTTTTTACATGAATTTTGAACTGTTTATCCTTGAACTCTATATGATTTATCAAAGGCCAGTAGTGAATCCGAACTTTTCGTTTATACTTCCGTACTTCAACACCCCTAGCTGACAAACCGATAATATAATCAGTTCCAAACTCATCTTTAACATTGTGAATATCAAGTCCATACATATCGAGTTGTTTACATTTACGCAAATACATAAGTTCTGCTTCAGATGGTACAAGTCCTGAGTATCCTTTATGCAGTTGTTCGACAACATTTTCAAATTCTTCATCTTGATTTGGAATGAATCGAAACTCCGAAGCATAACCAGGAGCATGGTCTTGATTTTGATAATCACCCAGTTCAGACTGCAGAACCAAAGCAGCAAGTTCGGCACCTTTTTTGAAGTCACATGGCAGTCTTCCAGATAACACATCCTGTTTTAGTTGCAGGAAAAACTGATAGCGAGTTATCTCTTCTCTTAAACTTGTGGGGTCAGCAACATAAAACTTGACCCCAAAATGGAGTTTATGAGGATTTTCACCCTCAATAAATCCCTCATGATCACGAAATCTTCTGTATAAATCCAACCAGTGGGTTTGAAATGTTTTATCTTTATACCGCAATCCAAAGTAATCCCTTTCGGCTAAGTTTAAATGGTCGCATACAGCATCAAATATTCCTTGTGTCTTATTGCTTTCCTTAAAATGAATGTTACTTCGGAATGGCAAAACGGTATCATCCAGTAAAATTACTTCACATGAAAAATCACTAGTTGTAGCTTTATTACAACAAAGCATACTATACTGGATGTTACAGATGCCAAAGCAATGTACATTTCAGACTGTGAAATAAAATTAAGGCGGTTATTTTGTGATGTCAAATGAAAATTATTATCTCTGGAGTGAGCGTAACAGCACACTGACCGATAAATCCAGACTACAGCCATTGTGAAATGAATTTTACCAAATGTAGTAATGAAAAGAGCATTATAAAGAAACAGATATAGTTATCATTCCTTGCTTAGACTGGTAGACCTATTGTTCTCGCATTCAACTTTTCTACAGGTAACATAATTCCCAAGTAACTTAAGTAAATCCTTTAATCTGCATGCATCGAAAATAATATATTTTTTACAACTTTCTCCTTAAATGAATTCATCTGTTCTAAATTATGCAAATTAAAAAAGTACTACTCACTTATGTATTTTGCCATTTCACATAAATCCTGTATATCTGTAAATAGACCACTGCCTTTCTTTCCAATAATGCAAAACTGTTCCATAAATTCTGATATTGCTGTATTATCACAAATTCCTGAAAGAAGTGCTAAGTGGGTCTATCAATTTACCAGTTCTGCAATAGACCAGTGATGTCCTTTTGTTATCAAACCCCAATTCTGCAATTACAGAATTATCAGATCAGAAAAATATAGTGCGGTGTTCCTGTATTACTTCTAGCCTATCTCAGTTTATTCAACGATTTAACCTTCCCACGGTTGTTCGCCCTCGCATACCTATAAAATAAATGGTCTACAATACACAAGACGGAATTCAGAAAAGTTCACAAATCTTGAAATCAAGTTTGGAAAATCAGAACATGAGTGCGCGCTACTGCATGTGTAATCTCACCTCGTGAAATACAATAAACTGCACTGATTTGGGATATATAATTACAGTATTGGAAACAGACTTACGCACCAAACAATGACGATCATAACTTTGGGAACCAAGTTTATCTTTGAAGGCTAGTGTATATTAAATTACTGTATGCATTGTTTTCTTGTCCTTTCAAAGTCAGTACATACCGAGATAAAATATCTTCTCTCAGCGTGAAACCCAAAATCTTTTCTACGACTTAACTTTTAAGCCGACCCTGGATAACAATTAATGTACGGTATCTTTTGTTCTTTCGGGTTTGCCTATCTCAAACAGCTGAGCCAATTAACAATTCGTACTTTGCGTCTAGGATCGATTTCACACATATTCGCAGCGAAAGTTCCGAAAATATGTGCATCCGTTGAAGCGTAATATTGACTGAGAGGAGAATAGTCACTGACGCACCTGAGGGCACAATACTTTCGAACTATGCGTCGTAAAACGATGTGGAATGTAAACGAACTTTCGATCAATCAAAAGTTGTACAAGTGAGTCACAAATAAAGCATTATTACCACCTTAAACTGGAATTTATCTCTTTGCTGAACAACCCTGTAAATTTAATTACTACCATTTCGTGAAGGTCGTAGTTTTGACGATTGAACTCGGACTGGCTTGCTCATACGAGAAACGACGGCGTTTGTTACTAATGAACTTGAAAGAAGCAACAGTCCCCGCGCCAATACATTTCAACCTTACCGCAATTCGTTAGAGAAACATTCGCAAATAACATGCGATTCTTAGTGAAATACCTTATTGATATTTTCATCGATTGCACACATGGTCACACATTGTTCAGCAGCAGGTGGATCGAACTCATTTGAAGAATCGGATGCTATAAAATTTAGTTTAAACACTGACAAACAATGATCAAAATTACGAGTTACCTAAAAACAAACGCTCATCCTCGCAAACATAGACTTAGGGCAGTAATGGAGAAAGCACTGTTCTTAGGCGATGTAGGTGTCGATGACCACCAGGCAATTTGAGAAAAGGTGAAATATACTCCCTACCACTTCTAGTAAGCACTGTTTATAATAGGCTGACAAAGAATAGTTTGATGCCGAAGTGCGAAATAGCTAAGATTCAGAGCATACTTACATGGATAAGATGCTATTAGCCCAAAATCCATCTCAAAGTTACATTGGACAACCGAAGATAAGATATGATCATGAAACCTACCACCCATCATGAAACAAAGTACATGCACAACAGGATCGGAACCAGACATTTACTACTACTACAACATAAAGAGAGCAAACCACAATTGATGTGCCACAAATCAAGAAAGATAAAATTGTATAGACTACTAGTGCTAAGAGATATCATAATCAAACATTACATTACAAGAATAAATAGCAATTCAAAGAAACAAGAGACTTGCTAAGTATTGCACAGTCGCCAGATATATTCACTTTTTGCAATACGACTATGTATCCTATCAACGTGTAAGTGCCTAGATGTTATATATTTATTACTTTTTTGTTTGCTTTCCTTTTTTCATCATGGACATCAAGTTGGAAGTGTATAAACACAATATTATGTTTGTTTTCCGAATTATTGTGCATTTTGTTTGAGTCTCCGCTGGCTTTTGCGTCGCTTCTTTGATGTCCGAGAAATCCACATAAATGATTTATTGCACTGAACGTACTAATCTACCATATTATCCACGTTCACAGATGACCTCAATCACACTTTGTTCCATCCTCACTGGATCAATGCAACGATGAATCCCACTTGAGATAACTTCATCTAACATACAATGTACAATGTTTTCATCGGATACAAACCTCCATAAGTACATCTGCAAGTAATGGCAATCCACCTAAGAAAAGAGATAATTAGAAGTTAGTTGTTTCTATAGACACACTGTGTCTAAACATTCTACTTTTTATGAATTTTCATTCACTAATCTAGTGAAGAGCATCATTCAAATTCCCACTGCACATTGCAGGCAAAATCTCAAATCTTATCAAGAGCAAATAACACTGTAAACTATAAGAACAGAAAGATATCATGTGCATGAACAGTGAGTTAGCTGAGAAAGACTTTGGCTGGATATTAGGTTCACATATTTTAAGGTCCTGAAGCATAAGCAGTATTTTGCGTCAAAAGATAACTGGACGCCATCAAAAAGCTAAACATGGGCCGTATTATTACTTTCCTCTCCCCTGGGATAAACATAAAAATCCTATCTTGGAAATCCTATAATTAAGATGCTATTGCTCATATTTTAAAAAATAAGTATGCATTTCATAAGCATTCCCAGACAACTATAATATAACTAAATCTTATAATATAAACTAAACCACATCAACCAACCACCAAATGCACCTTATTATTTCACAACTGACAAATAATTATCTCATTCTTACTTGCAATTGTTGTAAGCCAAATTTCCCGAATGTTCGAAGTCTGACACATTCCAGTAGTGTTTTTAATGCAATTTTAACTACACTCGTAAGCACAGACATTTTTGAAAACTCAACTGGACCAAAAACATCAACTCGTTCAGAAAATAGTTTCTGTATGTTGCTCATCAGACTGTTGTCCATGTTGGAACTGGATATAAAAGTATTAAATATTTAATTAAATTTTACAATGACATTAGTCAATATTGACCAATGGCTATCATACCTGGCCCATTTTCATCATGCAGATGAGACACCTTGCTTTTTAAAGGGTTGTGTGAACATAAGGGATGGGCGGTTGCCCGGCTGGCCTCTAATTAAAGATATTGAGATAGAGCTCTAGTCGATCCACTGTGAAACACAAGACCACACCCCGACAAAAATTTTCGAGCAAATAGTACCGTAACTAAAATGATAATATGAGATATTAGCAAACACACATATCACATGCACAGGTCATCACTAAGGAAGGACCAAGGTTTTACAGCTGAATAATGAGTATTTATAGTAGAGGTGTAGTGGATAAAATAAAATAACTATCAAAACTACCAAAAAGCATTTTAGTCCTTTCCAATCCAGTAACGTCATCTCTATGACTGCATGAAAACATGTCTTGAGACAAATTCCTGCACGAACCATACCCAGAATTGAACATTTACCTTTGAGCATAATTTCCCCAATGTCCTCTGTCGCGTTGTCTTGATGTTGATGTTGGATGTTGAAATGTTCGTTTGCTGCTATCACTACTCCGAGCTTTTCTTAAACCTTCCTCATATAAGGATCCAACCTTTATTATGAACAAAATTTTGCAACATTTAGTTGTTAAAGGAATTTTGTATATTCTCTACAATAAGATAATAAAGCCATTCATTAGCCTGCTGTTCAATCAAGCCCCTTTTAACTCAGGACAAGTTGGATGAGAATTGCAGCAAACTAGACACTAGACAGCTTATTTACTTGCCACCCAAACAGTATTATATTATAAATCTCCATATTGACATCACTTAGTGTTTTATTTATCACTTGAATACTGGTTGCTGTTTCAATCAGGGTTTTATCGAAAGGGTATTGTCATCATCTCTTGAAATATACTGTATATATATCTAAAAGCATATATGAAGTACATATTTGAAGATCATTATTCTTTATTAAGATATATTAGTACCAAGCTCTCAAGAATATTGAACTTAATTAGAATCATCATGTCTTATTGACACAATTTTATATAAAATCAACATACTTGAACATCAATCTGAGTAATTTCTTCAACCACTCTTCTCATCACAGCACGGACTTGTCTCGGTTCAACAGATCTTGCCCAATCTCGAGTTTCAACACTTGTTCGTAGCATTTTTGAAACAGATTGACCACATTGCTTCACATAGCACTCAAGAATACGTTGAGCTATCAGTCCTACTTGAGAAGTTAGATCTGCAGCCTACAATAAGTGAGATATGAATTATGGCATATTTTCTGCAATAATTGCTCTTGCATTTCGAAGTATAAACGGGATAATAGGTAAACAATTTAAGAATTTATATCATGACCAAATGGGACATGCAACAGCTGAAGGCATGAATAAAAAATATGTGGTGAAAAAAAGTTCTCCATGGCATTCAGCATTGCAAAGTACGAAATGGAGTAATTGTTAAACAAATTATAAGTTTATATCATGAAAAAATCGGTTATATGCAATAGATGAAGCCTCAAATAAAAACTGTGACGTGAAAAAAGTTCTAATTCATTGATTTTGTAACATTGGCCAACTGTTTTTTAAAGACTCACTGAATTAAATCTTTTGAAACCGTGATATTTAGTTTTTGGGGGGTTAAGTATTTCCACCAAACTATTCACCTTTAGGAATATGGTTGCTATTGTGCGCTGAAACCACCCTATGTGAAAATCACAACCATGAAAGACCATATGCAAGAAAATTGCTGAACGCATGGTCATTTTTTGCTCTCTGAGTTGAAAAGTACTACAGTATCTCTACGTTCGTGTTTCTCACCGATGTTACTTTGTCTCTTTCAGATATAGCAAACTGTTCATCAGTTAAAGTCAGAACATAAGCAACAGTTGATAATTCAAAGTCTTTACACAATCTTGACAGAAGAAGTAACAAAGCTGGTGGCGGAGAAGGTGATTTTCCGCCAGGACTTTTATTGGGAGAGCAGAAACCCTCCATAACTCTAGAAGGAAAAAATGTCATTCGTAAGCGAAATATAGCTATTAAAATATTCTTAGGAATAGTGCTCACAAGAGTATAAACTAAGCTTACCAATTACGATTACATGTTAAATGCCATGTTTTCAATAGGCAGGAAGCAATTAATTCAGTGGTATCTAATGTAGGTGCCTGGAGATCATACTCATATAATAAAAATTGAGTAAATTCACATGCTACCGGAATACTAATATTTAATGGATTCAGCTATATAAAAGAAGCAAAAAATCTATTGAGGAAAACAAAAACTTTATAAGCGAGAATATCGGTCAGAGACCGAAGGCTTATCGAAATAGGCTTCTGGTCCGTGATATGATGAATGCACATGCAAAATTTGGAGCAGATTCAATTTCGCCTTCTTGAGACATCGCGTTCATCTAACAGACAGACATACAGACAAATACCTTATCAACATACTTACCAATCTTAAGATCGATAAGTAACAATCAAGTTGTCTAACATACTTCATATGATCAAGCACCATCCATTAATGACATAAAATGCTTTATATAGTATAAACTATATGTAACACTCACTTGCAGAAATCATGGATGAAATTGACAATGATTTCCTCTCTGACCCATTTGGCTGGGAATTCTTTACTGTAAACGAAGGAAATGGAAGACATGTTACAATACACAATTCTGTGACTGTGACCATCCCAATTGATGGTTCAAATTGAGATAAAATTTCTAAGCTTCAGTACATTCTATGTATTAGAATATTAAATTTGTTCAATTCCCAGAAACATCACTCAATAGGCAAGAAACAAGTCCAACATAAAACAAGAGAACTATGCTCAAATATATGGACACGTAGCGCCACCCAATGGCAATAATTTTGATGACGTCATAGCGAAAAAAAAAGTAATAGCCTTCTGGAGATTTTATCTTTAACCACTGAAAATTTCAAAGCAAATGGTCCAGTATTCGAAGAGAAAAGCGTTTTTTTTTAAAAATGATGGAGACAAATAACAATTACAAGAAAATTTTGAAACGATCGTTATGTCCACTAAACGTGTCGAATAATATGACATGAACAAAGCTGGATACTGGCCATTATTGAAAAAATCTAAAAGTGACATCAGAGATAACTACCGGTAGATATAGTTTGATAAAAGATGCCTTGACTTGATGAGATTAAAAAAGACTCTTTACTACCTTTAACTCCAATCTTGTTTAATTGTTTTTATTCAGTTATGTTTAAAGATAGAAGAGCTAACCTCAACAGACATAGATAGCATTTCCCCTATTCAGACTGCCCATTTTCACCAAGCTAACCCTATTTTACTCAATATTATTAAGTTTGATCAAAGATGCTTCAACTTGACAACATCTATGTAATAGGAAGATACATTATTCATGATTTCATTACAAAAAGCAGAGCATGTGTGAAAGCTTCTACTATACTTAGAATAAACCTTAAAAATCAGCTGATATATAGCTGAGAGCTGATCAAGTACAAAATATCTAATCTGTTGCTTACTTAAAGAAAGGATTGGAAGAAAAATTAATATCTCGAGCAGTGAATAGTTGAACATCAGCAAGAACAGATTTGATTTGATTTAATATAGATGAAGCAGTTGTATTCAGTAGATCCAACATGTTGAAGCTTGTGGATTTGCCTGAAAGAGGGGGATAATCAAGTACATACAAGGTCATAGAAAATTTGATATTTTTTAAATGATTTTGCCATCAATACACGCATTCCAAAGTATGCCAAACATCCTTTGGCAATAGTATCAAACTGGGAATCAGCCTAACTCAAAGTTAAGAAAATCACATATCCACACCTCATGATTAGTACAGAAGTTATTATTAATAAAAAAGACAGGGATTTGGTGTTGAATATTTTTTAATAGATTCAGAGTCAAAAAAATTGCCGCCCCTAACCCTTGTGTCATTGAAAATTTTAATTACCCCTCCAGCTCCTGACGCAAATCAAATCATTGATGTATGTCAGACCCATTTAATATTAGACTGTTGAAAATTCCTAATAATCTTGACGTCTTTTGGGTTTTGAATTTTTTTTTACTTTTATCTCTATTATCATCATTAACATGTGAAATTACGACTTTGAGAAATTCTAAATTTCAACTCCAACTCCGGGCAGTTTGACAGCAAGCCCCTGCTTTTGCAAAATATTATTGTCCACTTACCACCAGATGTTTTCGATGCAGCTATGATATGTCTAGCATCAGTCAGACAATCAGAAAAATATTGTCTTAATGCAGTGTTATAATGTTCACATCTTGATTTAGCAGACTTGATAACAATATTGCAGCTTGGTGTCATCACATCAACACTAGGAAGCAAATTTCGAGTTGCTTGCAATCTGCAAAGAAGAAGGATAGTAATACAGAGTAACAATTTAATGCCATTAGATTTCATTTATTTGTTTAAGCTTACCCAACTTAATTATATTGAAAACAAATTTTAAAATATATACGGTAATTATTTTGTAAAGAATAAAATAAGAGTATCCACTAATAGATAAAAAAGGTACCAACCTCCATACTAGTCAAATATATATTTGAAACGGTATTCCCGTAGTATGTGCACCAGGTTGGATTTATGCCATAATTTTATACCGATTTTCCTTATTTTAGTTATATTACGAGTTTGGGGACTGTCTGTGTTAGCCAAGTGAATATACCCCCTGCCCATAGATTTCAATCCCCTTCACACAACTTGATGTAAAATAGGCGAGCAAAATTAGTTACCTCCATATTGGTACACATTTTTCTGGAGCGCCTTTAGAAGTTGGAAAAAAAGTTTTTGTTCAATATCAAAGACATAAGGGAAAAATTATATAAACCTTGTCATAAATATTAATGAGTTGGGATTTGGGGATATTGTTCATTAGAAAAACAAGTGGTTAGCCAAAATGCAACAGACCAGCAGTATTGCTCAATTTAGGCAAAGGCTATATCAGTTTAGTACATCCAAAATTAAAATGTTTCATAATTCCTCCTTGTAATCAACTTTAATCATTCTGAATAAATATATTTTGCATCAAAATTATAAAATAATAGAAATTTTTCTCAGCCAAATTTGGATTTGTAATGTGCAATCTTACAAAAATAAAGACAAAGTTGAGCATTTTTTCTGATATATTATATGTTCACTGCCCATTGTTACTGTAAATTCCTAACAGTAAGGTAGTCACCAGACAGTATCAAAGTAACTAAAAAAGCATTGAAAACTTACCTGCGGTAGAATCTATCCAAAGCTCTGACCAAAAGAGCATTATCACTGCTCTCTTTTTCAAAATCCAATCGTTTTTCCACGAGAGTAAAATAATGTTTCAACTGTTCATTCACGAATACAGTCAATTTGTCACTTGCAACTCTTGACATGTCCTCCTGTCAGTAAAATATCATTTAATACAAGATTTAGCCGAGACTCAAAGCATGAGATATTGTTAATGTGTAAATTCAATAAAGAGTCACCCATGAAAAATAAAAGCAAGGACATATATATTAAATTAAATATGTAAATCAAAATATTCAAAAATTTGACAAATTTTGGATAAACTAGTACCAAATATGCCAATCTCAATTCTGAAATGTTTGAAATTTGAACACAAGAACTTAAATTAAGTCAAAATGAAGGACGAAAAAAAAACATTGTCGAAAGGTATTTAAAGAGTGAAAAGGAGGGCATATATGAAAAAAGAACAGAATTTTATAAAAATTATGTCACCCATATATTTAGTTGCATAAAAGAAAGATTTAGGTTTACAGAAAACAAATTTGAGGATGTGAAAGAAATAACGCAAGAAAATATCCATAACAATGTCACCTGAATTTCGCTCATGCTTGAGCTTTCTGCGATTTCTTGAAATAAAGTTTCAGGAATGTTCTTTGTTTGATTAACGAACAGATTCTCATATGCAGCAATTGTTAAAGACAAATTGCTCAAAAATCCATTACTGCCTCGATCAATGAATTCTAATACGTCAATCAACAACCTAAACCAAGACAATAAGAAAACTTAATTGTTATCTTTTTTGAACAATATTTCCTCCATATTTTCAATATAGGCTAGGATACAAATGACTGGAAAGTTGTTAGCATGGACCTAACAATACCATCGTACAACAGTGTAAGCTTGAGCATGTTACAAAATCCAGATATTTAAGTCGATATAATTATCCAAAAAATACAGAACTTTCAAATTGGCCCATGTTTATAAAGGTGCAAAGCAGGCAGGAGTCATTAATAAAATACTTGTGACAGTTATGCTAAAAGTCTTTCACCACACTCAAATCAAAATGTACCGTATATATTCAAGACTCAAATAACGTGAAGATGCATATAAACCTAATAAGGATTAATGAGCTACAAAAAACATGTCAACAGGGTATTTAATTTTGAAGGATTAAAGTTTTACCTGGTATTTTCTTGTTCAACTATATCATCAGTATGTTCATCTGTTTCTTCATTGGTATTTCCAATACTTTTGCTATCTTCTGCGACAATAGTAGTTTTTGTTGAACTTCTAGTAATTGATGAAGATGTAAGGAAGTTGCATGATAGATATGATTCCAGTTCCTGAGAAAAATGAATGTTGATTATTAATGAATCAAGATTGTGGTTCAAAAAGTCAAGCTGAAATCAGATTTTTGGAATTACATTCTTGCATCTCTTAATTAATCATGACCATATATAATATTTTTATTCAGAATTCAGCGATTCAGAACTGTCTACAGAAATCTGAATTTAAAAATGGGGTCGGATAGTGGTGACTTTATTATAGTTGGAAGCCAAGCAGAAGCATGAAAAGATTTATCTATTGATGCATTGCTAACGCTAGTTTTCAGATCTTTGTACTCAAGGGGTCCATGTTTGTTTACAAATATTAATTTCACAAAATTGAGTACAGAAAATTATCTGTGATACGTAAAGATCAAAACTCTATCTGCAATACCATCTGCGGAAAAAATTTCCATCAAAAAATATAATATATTCAGCAAGAACGGTTGCTGAATATGCTCTAAACTAAAACAGTTTTTGATCACATCACTGTAACTGAATATCATTATCGCTCAATTGTTTTGAGTGAAACATACGTTTACATTACTAAATGATATATAAAATTCAAACCTCTAAATCTTCCAGTAACTTTCGTTTTGTGTGTTGAAGATAATCATCACATAAGGATGCTGGTGGTTCTCCTAATCGTAATAATAAGCCAACACATTGAGCTAATTGCTGCGGTGTAGAATTCTGCACAAAATATGAAGTAGAGTATTTTTAATTAATGGAACACTCTTATAGACGGGTGCGCCCTATGAATAGACAGAACCCAATCCAAACAATTTATTGATGGTGCGCCTTAACTCTTTTGTTCCGTATGACATATATATTCGTACTACCATCCTTGGTCATAATAGTTATTTTCGGACTATTTTACGTTTATGTTCATGTTTTGTGAAGTATTCCGCACTAACTAAATCATTTTGAGCATCCAACTATGATCCGTGCTTGATCTGTCAACATTTTGTTTTTTTGTAAATTTTTTATTTTACTACTAAGTGAATTTTATTTGTGTAGGTATTTCAAAGCTTAGAGATGCACGAAAGTATTTGTCATTACTTCAAAAAAAAGTCATTTGAACAAGCGGGAAACAATTTCGCGCACATAATAAACAAACAAAGATTCCAGACAACTATCGTGGACATGCTCTCACATATCATTGATTATTTCGCGTTTCGCTTCGCTTGCGAAGCTGAGTCTGGTTTTTCTGCAAAGGTGACGTAACTCTCTTTCAGAAGAGCGCTTGGAATTTCGTTTCTTTGTAACACGTGTTCATCGAAGCGATAAGAGTGTGAAACGTTCTCTCAAAATTTTTTGAAATTTCTCTCTTCTTACACGCGTGGGGTCGAACGGTTTCGCCTACGTCTTTTGGGCGCGTTTTAGTAGGAAGACGCGAAAATAAGCTTTTTAAAGAGATATTGGGGGTGTTCCTTGTACGTTTGGTTAACTGGTCATTACATATTATAAAATGGTACATAAAGTCGATTGTATACAGCGGAAAAAAAGGGTTAAGGTCTGTATAATACGGTAGTCATGATTTTGAAATTACATTATTCTTTGAACGAAAATTTGTACAAAATTAGTAATAATTTAGTTGTATGTTTGAGCATATATAAATAATGGGAAAAGGAATTTTAAAACATAATGGAATAGCACCTATGTGGAATTGGAAGCCCTTACTGAAAAAGCATACCTTATTATGGAAAGTGTCTTTTAATTTTTCGATAACTTGATTCATAATTTCAGTACAGTCACGTTGAATTCCACTGAATGATTCCATGTGTTGGTAACGACTAAGAACAGATCGTGTTTTGGTGTAATATGTCACAGCAGCAGAATATGATTTCATGTCAAGGCACCTTTGTAACCTGGATGGTAATTCAAACAGAAACTGCAGCTTCTTGAGCAGTGAATGAACTCCTGATAGCTTCAGTATTTTCTGTCGATTGTCCTAAAGTGAAATTACGAAGAAAAGTATGAGAGGGTCATCAGAAACTGCTCAAATCCATGATCTGGTGGTATTTTTAGAAAGCTAGCTGGTGTCAGAATATAGACAAAATGGTTTAGTAGTTCTAAGCGAAGGTGTAAAAAAACAATACTACTTTGGTATGCGATATCGGAGGTTGTGCGATCTCAGTGACTTTAGTTAGGGTTAGGAACAGACTTATATGAGAATTAAACAGATACCAAAATGGGTATGCAATTGAGATCTTGTAAAGCAAGTGAGATGCATACCTAGGTGGCAACAAATAAGTTATCAAATGCAAATGAGGACGTAAAAGATGTTAAAATTAGGAAGAAAATGATACAAAAATGTTAATAATTTTTGGATGAATTAGAAATGCCTTTAAATAATTTGAAATATTGTTGATAAGAAATAGGATACGGTAAGCAACAAGAACCTACATGCATTGTACTGTTAATTTCAGAACTTAATTTTGCAACTGACGACACATTTGCAGTTAATTTCTCCATTTCATCCTCCATTTTATGAAAATCTCGTTTCATTGTACGAATTGTATCTGTCGCACTGATGAACTTATTGTAGTTCTCATACACCAATGTCTGTTAAAACAAATAAATTCAATTTTGCTACATTTTCTTGAATAGCATATTTCATATAGTATGACACATGTTTCAATGTTTAGAAAACTGACCAGATTTAGCAATATATAAACAAGCTCTGAAACGAGGGGCGTCGTTTTGGTAGTACTGGATACGGCGGCACTATCTTTGTGAGATACTAATAAATCAACTGTGATGCCAGCGAAATCCGCTCGACAATAGTTTCCTAATTATCTGCTTCGGTTAATCAGACTTTAACCCACAAAATTTATTGGCGAGACAGTTTTGAATTCCACTTCGTTTTAGTTTAATGTGCAGCTACATTTTGTGGTTTTTGCACCAATATAGAGGGACGGTAAAGGCCAGGGGATATTTATGTATCATTGGATAATAATGCATGTATTTAAACTTTTAAACCGTAACTCCGTTTAAAAAACATGCAGAACATACTTGCATTTCACTGTCCAATGTTCGTATCTGACGTGCCATGTCATGTTCAGTATCCATCAGCTGCTCCAAATTTTTTTCCTTACAATAAAAACCTCAATTAAAGTTTTATCAAAATTAGAAAAACTACATCTACAATTACTGCTGTACTGGGCAAAAACAAAACTAGGCTACTAGTTCTATAATGTAAGCAATTTCGGTATTATGGGTATCAAAATTTAGCATTCCGCCTTCGAACATGAAGAATTTACCTATTTTAATACAGGAACATAACTGCATAATAGTGTCAAATGTGAATTGGGCTAGCTGACTGGTAAAATTTGAATAATTTCAAAAAAATTCAACCTGCTTTAATTTGCGAAGGTAATCCTCAGGTTTGAAATTGTTGCTGTCAATATCCAGATGTCCATCGGAAACTGAAGATTGATTTTGACCATCGACATTGTAATACATCTTGAGCATATCATTTTTACGCGCATGTCTCGTCTGACAATTTTCGTCCGTCTCCTCCATTGCTAAACTTTATCTATTGACTATCTATCTATTTTTCAGCCAATCGATTACAAAAACAATACAAAAACTACCGGTATTAGCCGATTTGACTGGCAAGCAACTCCAGTGTCGCGATTTACTCTGCTTATTTAGCTGATCTTTGACCCCGAACAATTTGGGCCTGACTCTGAGTCTACACAGGGGCTTATTTTCGATCTTATATTTTCATTTATTAAAAACCAAATTACAAAGTAGAAAATTACGAAATTTTCGAACATACAAAATATGAGCGCCGATATCCATTTACTTACAAATAACACGTTTTTATTCAAATTAACTGCAAAACATAGTTTATTAATCATTTTAAACGTGTAGGAGAGATTTCTTGCTATAGACTAGGTCAAAATTTTGCGTTATCAACCAGGTCTTATTTTGAGGAGAGGGCTTATTATTATATTAAAGTCATTTTTAAAATTCAGGCTAGGTCTTATTTTCGGGAAAATACGTTAGTCTCTATGTAATATTTTGAGTAATTTAAAGGTTTTGATTCTACAAGTCTTCCGTAATTATTGTATTATTAAATGGGGCAATACCAGGAGAAAGAGTACGGGAGCTACGCCAGTCAGGTAGAACCAGCAAATGTCTGCAAAGCTTGAAAATGAAAGATGGCGTCTTAAATTATTGTGAGAAGAAGCAGAAAATTATTATACGAAAAAACTGCAAATATTTGTCACTGCTGGAAAATGATTGCAGTGAGTCGCCGAACGTTTTGAAAACATTAGGTTAAGGTAATCACTTGTACTTATAACTTTCAGCAGTGTTCAAGAAGACTGGAAAGTACTTTTGACGGATCAAGTAGTTCGTTTTCGTGTCAAATAGAGCTTTGCTTTCTATTAAGCTAATTGTCAACTTGTCACCCCAGAGGAGATGATATCTGTTTTAGCCCTTTTGCCACTCCACTCGATATCGCCCACTTTAAGAATTACTGGTCAAGCACATCTTTGGACTCAATAGTTGTACGTTTTTGGTTGAAGATTGACAGTCAAAAGCTGTCGACTTGAATAAGGAAACGGCCATCGAAATGAGGTTTCTCCGGATAAAGATCATTTCCCATCTGTGACATCATAGAATGGTCAAAACTTACTTCGGATACAACCCAGCAACTCTTTAGTGACAATTAAATGCATTATAGGCCTACACGTACTTTGGCAAACATTTTATGATATCAATGTGTTCCGCTAATATTCCTCCTTGAAAACGCGATTTTCTTAATCCTTCAATTTGAAATATATATATAAATTGGTGAAATATTGGGATGTTTCAATGAGTGCGTGCGAAATTCCCATGAGAGCCTGTGATAGATGACCGAAAACAATTGATTCAAAATGGCACCCATTGTCCAAGTGTTGCCTCGGTCTCATCAATGACATTAAACAAAAATTGTTTAATGTCATTGGTCTCATATATATAGAGGACTTGCACGGGTCACGTGACTTTGTTACTGGACGGCAATAAAACAAAAACGTCCATTTGGCTTCTGTCAGTTGCAAGTGGATTATACGTTTCCGTTTTGTTTGGCTGTTGAAAATGGTTATTTCGTATTGTTCCGTTGGCTGTACGTATAGTATAGACAACGAAATGGATCTTCAGTTATATTCCACTGTTTTCAAAAGATCCGAAACGTCGCGCAATGTGGATATCATCTATTGGCAGGACTGCTTGGTGTCAAGTCCAGAAGCCATCTCACTTGTGTTTCACTGTTTGCGGACAGCACTTCGTTGATGGTGAGTCATCATGTGCCGTTATCAAATTTTTAAATATTCATAAGCTCCCTCATTTTAATGGAAAGCAGATGACAAACTACTGTTATTGGTAGGCGTAGGCCTACTTGCAGACTTGAATCGTGTAAGGTATTAATCAATAATTGCCATAAGGTATTGTTTTCCTAGTTAGCAGGTAATCTATCAGTAAGTGTGAAAAGTTGAATAGATAAATAAAGTTTAACGCCAGTGCTAATGCAAAAAAATAACCAGAATTCAATTGAATTCTCCATCTAAGAATACGCTCGCCACCGCATCTCTGATCCCCCTGGGAGTTTCACAGGTTCCAATCCCATGCGGGGATAGTTATGTGCGAGGGGATTGCAGCTCTCCTCCCACTGAGGGTGGTTCACACGACCGCTGGTCGATTACGACATCCCCCACCATCAAGTATATGCCTCTAAAACAAATAACTGGCTAACTAATCCCGACATAGAATGGTAATTGTAGGATGTTGCACCTTGCAATCTGTCCCCAACTACAGATAAATTCTATCCTGAAAACTACCCACATTGGTAAGCATAGTTGCGTTTCAAATTGAAAGAAATCTTCATTAATAGTCAGAAGGTGTCTGATTGTTTTGTTAGTTAGCAGGTAATTTATTACTGATCTGATACACAAACTTGGCACTGTCAAATGATGATTAGTGTTTAATTTATTTTCAGGAAAAAGGGAAGATAACCCATTATCAGCTGCTTATATGTCCCATCGATATTTGAATTTTTGCCATCCCCAGAGAGGAAGAGAATAGTTAGAAAAAGGGGGATTTTGAAGAAAGGCAAAAGGCAAGACCATTTCAACAAATTCTGTTAACTTGTATGCGTTGCAATATTAATTTGCAGTTGTTAGCATAAACCTTTAATGTGTCTTTCGACTAGACCTACCACACTTTAAAAAAAAAGCCGCCTACACCCCTTTTCACTAGAACCATAATACTGTAAAATATTTGATAGAAATTACCCCCGAGGCATAATATCTTCCATTTGAAAGGGCTGTGGAGGCAGATACCTTTTTTACTCTAAATTATGGAATGTTACTTCCAGGTTATCTTATCCTTGCTTATAGATATCTTGAGGTTAGTGACTGCAACTGACCCATGCATGCCACACTGAAAATTCTCTTGTGTACCCATAAAATAAGGCTGTTGGAGCCTTCAGACCTTGAAAACAGTCGAATCTGAGCACGATGGATTCATGTGAATCACGTAATATGCATTTGGAGGCAAAAATATCCCATCCTGAGCAGCACCGTTCCACAACCTCCTGCCTATGGAATCAAAACATTAGACAAATTAGTGTACTGTGCGTTTTCACAAATCTTTGCGAATAAAGTGTGCCTTTTGACTAAAGAAATATTAGCATTGAAATGGTCAATCTCAATATCAATCTAGTATCTGCATATAAAGCCAATTGTTTTTTAAAAATACATTTTTGATGTGCTTTATTTTTCAAATATAATTTATAATTACTGTAAAGCAGGGGTTCCCAAACCGCGGGCCAATTACGGCCCGCGAGACGATTTCAAATGGCCCGCCGAACATTAGTGAAACTATAACCGTGAATAAATACTAAGACGTTTAACAATTTAAATGTGTTCATCCTTTTATGTCGTAAATGCCGCCAGTTGTTACGTCATTATCACAATTTAAGCACGTGTATATCGTAACAATTCAATTATACTGGCATCTTAACTTACGTACCGGTATTAGGATTGCGTACGGCAGTCTTTTAGGTATCACGTATCAGCCCTATATTAAAGGAAGCTTGAAGATGTCACAAAAACGAAAACTAGACCCTGAAAACAGGCGTTTTTCGGATAAATGGCAGCGTTCTTATTTCTTTATTGAAAAGAATCAAACTTCAGCGATTTGTCTTCTTTGCCAACAAACTATTCTTGTTCTATTCCTGTTAAACTACGGTCCAGACTGACAGATAATCACTTAGAGTGCGGTATTGCAAATACAATGTAACAAATTGGAGCCACGTTTTCGAGCAAATCCCATTTACACGTATCTACAAAAATGCAAGTAAATTATGTTGGCTATTCGTTTTTTTTTTAATATTTATATACATTGAGACGTTTTTTTGTTTAACAAAAAAAAAACATGAGTCGCTATCTGGGGTCATCTCTTATCTCTGGGGTCAATCTCAACCTCTGTGTCAGTGGATAATATTGATAGTACAACTGCAAAAACCATACTCACCAGAGATAACAGTGTTTTATAAACTTCAACTACAAATTTAATTAGATAACAAATCTTGGGTGTCGCTGCCTGATAATCAGTTCCCAGCGATTTCCCTTCCCAGTAAAATGTGTGTCAATTTTACTTTTTTCATAATTTCGTTTGTTATTTTTACTGGATGGAAAAAATAAACTTGACCATGATATGAGTAGACATTTATACGAAGCCGTAGTCCAGATGAGCAAGTAACTTCATTAGTCGCTATCAGTTACAAATCCTTTTTAAAAGTCGTGCTTGTTATTTCTCGGGTATTCTATCACCTAACTATTATACTTATGAATTTTATTACATAACAAACTGCGATACTGGGTGTAACTAATATCAATCTTGCAGCCTATTTTGGTGCCTATTTTTCAAAATTTTCCCAGCCTTTACGTCGGCCTTTTTTGGTCATCCCGCTTTACTGGCCCGCGAGTATCCTCGCCTTGAAATTTTGGCCCGCGGCCTAATAAGTTTGGGAACCCCTGCTGTAAAGTGTGTGATATATTTGGTACCATGAATACTATTTGCAAATTAGCTTGGGTTACACCCCTCTCAAATAAAAGTTTAGACTCTTAAGTCATATCTCATAATATTCTTTAAACAAGAGGTTGCGGCTAGCCGGCTACCCATCAGAATTTCCTTTCAGATCACAAAGTCGCAATATTACGCCTCGCCCAGACCCACCGAAACAATTTTTTTTCTTGATAGGGTAGTATTGAAGTTGCTTTTGTTAAAGCACAATGGACACTTTATCTCCACCAATCCACAGTAATCACAAGTTACTTTGTCATTAGATAAGCATCAATAAATGGATACTGAGGATGTATTATCAAGTCACGCAAGCTGAGGTCTTGTGCCACTGTGGTCTTGTTGCAACATATACTTTGCCATCCATCTATTCCATGATCGCACCCATATCTGTAAGATAATGGATACAGATAGAGTTTTCATAAAATCTAACGATCAAGGAGTGCGAAATTTAGGTCCATATCCCACCACAGCCACTAGTCGTAAATGAATTTGATTCCGGGTAGCATCCCTTTTTTACCAATGACAATAAAAAGACATTTTGTATCAGTTCAGTTCAATCAGGGGGGGGGAGCCAGTTATTTGTTTTCAGAAGCATGGACTTGGATGGTGGGGAATGGTCGTAACCGATCAGCGGTCATGTGAACCACCCTCGGTGAGAGTAGAGCTGCAATCCTCTCTGGGATTGAAACCTGTGAACTCCCAGGGTGATCAGAGATGCGGTGGCGAGCGTATTCCTAGATGGCGAATTCAATTGAATTCTGGTTATTTTTTGCATGACCGCATAGTTATCTATTCAACCTTTCACACTTAGTAATATATTACCTGCTCATTAGGGAAACTATACCTTATAGCAATTGATTATTAATTCCTTACTGTCTTACACAAGTCAAGTCTGCAACTGCAAGCAGGCCTACTAATAGCAGTAGTTTGTTATCTGCTTTCCATTGAAATGAGGGAGCTTGTGAATATTTAAAGAAATTGATAACGGCACACTATCACCACATTATCACTCACCATCAACGAAGTGATGTCCGCAAACAGTGAAACACATGTAAGATGGCTTCTGGACTTGACACCAAGCAGTTCTGCCAATGCAACAGATGATATCCACATTGCGCGACGTTCCGGATCTTTTGAAATCAGTGGAATATAACTGAAGATCCATTTCGTTGTCTATACTATACGTAAGGCCAACGGAACAATACGAAATAACAATTTTCAACAGTCAAACAAAACGGAAACGTATAATCCGACTTGCAACTGACAGGAGCCAAATGGACGTTTTTGTTTTATTGCCGTCCAGTAACAAAGTCACGTGACCCGTGCAAGTCCTCTATATGCTTTGATTTACCCACTCATGTAAAATGTCGATTTCTTGAAACACCAGTTCCTTTCCGAATAATCTTTCTATTTCCCAAGAAGATGCCAGCTACTCCTATTTAACAAGCCATGACATTCATTTTAACGATTTCAAATAGCCAGTTATTTTCCTACGGACTTACAAATACGTTATTGGACACGAAATGGACCTACAAATCGTTTTGTCGAAGTTTTGTTGTTTTTCGTTTTTTCGTGGTATTTTTGTTCTTCATCTTGTTGTTATTATTTTTCCCCGTGTTTTTCTTCTCTTGTTGTAAAAAAATCCCTTTCCATTTACCTGCTGGACCAATGGACCTTTCCTCAACCTCTGACCCCCGAAAAATTCTTTCTATACTTTACCATTGCAATCAACATCGCATACAACAATCTGTATTTTAAAAGTACCGGTGAAGAATTTTAGCCTAGTCTATCACAGCTATTTCTACACTAATTTTTTATTACTGCAATTAAATTAAAACTCCTAGGAAGACAGAGTGATCATTGAATTATCTGATTTATATTTAAGTTTCCGAAACACAACTAAAAACTAACGAATAGAGTTCAAAAACGCGAAAACGAGGTAATGTTTACGACCACGCTTGAAAATCTGTCTGAGTGAGAAAAGTGTCTGAGCGGATGCAAAAAGAATGCATTGTTACGTCCTTTTTGCATCTTGCTGATTGGCCAATGTCACGAAGTAAACAAGGAAGTCGATGCTCGGGGAAAGGGCCATTGTTTTGAAATTTTCGGTGGTTAAAGATTATTGTTGTCGCTAGAAGGCTACTACTTTTTTTATTTCAAAAATTTCTGTGGGCTCTATGGGATTCCTTTTAACTTTGAAGTTTTGTGTGATCACTGATGACGTCATCAAAATTAAAAATTGCATACCTTGTGGCGGTTTCGCGATCGCATTTTGTGTTGGCCCTTTTTTCCATATATTTGAGCAATGCTCTCTTGTTTATTATGTGTATTTGGGGACACTAAATTGGAGTACGCAAGACCGAGCTCGTACAACTATCCTGAACATCCATCATCATTTAAACAAGTAAGAATTAGGTTATGCTAGAAATTAGTTTCGTTATATATGTTCGTTGATCGCAAAAAAAGACTTCTGTTTGCCATTCTCAAATTAACAGTCTCTTCTCAGAACGGGAAGTTCTATGTACTATGTTTGATGCAAGTTCTTATGCATTCACTGTTTTGCCAGTGGCCGGCATAATTTCAAAATGGGAATAGTTTTATTATAGGAACTTATTCTTGTTAAAATAATGTACTCTTACGTATAAACTTGATGTCTATCTCCAGCCTGTATTCACTGACGTCTATGTAGCAACAATATGTTGCTATGGGCGTCTAGAATCTGGGATCAAATATTTCGCTAGAATTACGATGGACATCACTGTTCCCTTGCAACTAATCTTACAGTTAGTTATCTTACAGATATTGAATACATGTTGTGGAACTGAGAAATCCCCAATCTGGTTCTTGGGGTTTCAGGTGTACAATTGGCGCTTTTGTACCCGTTTGATACAGGAACATTGGACATTTATATTTATATAACAAGACTATTATTAAATCTCGATACTCAAAATCGCTGTAGGTAGAAGAAAAGACTAATCTAAAATTTTATAAGATATTGTTTGAATGGTTAGGGTTATTTGATTATTAAGGTAACACAGTAAATGACAAAAATAAAACAATAATTCGTTATGAATTTTCGTTTGGAACCGTGGGGTCAAAAAATTAAACTGGCAACTATAGGTATATAATATGTCATATTTAGTTAAACGGAATTTAGAGGATCAAAACATTCCAGAAACTGCTTGTAAGTATCGATAGTTCCATAGTCAATTTTCACATTTCCTAATTCGATTTCTTTATCTAGTTGCAGATCTTCTGCGGCAATCCCTTTGTACACATTCGATTTGGTGGAAAGTTGAACTTGGGGGACGATACTTTCTGGTGGTGGTTCGAATACATCACATACGCTGTTACGCAGGCTGACTACGTAGTCTTTCTGTATATCTGTGAATGAAAGTCCTATTGTGTAGTTTTGATACTGACATTCGAGACCTCGAACTTTAGAGCAAAGTATTTCGAGAACTCGACTGACGGAAGAATCTTTGATACCCATTTCAAGTGCTTCCTTCGAACGCACGAGTGATAGGTTATTCTCTACCTCCAGAGCATATGTAAGGTAATAGTTTCTTCCTGTCGCCGTGATTTGTTCAACACCTATTGCTCTGAGCGCACTGACCTTGATCGTCTTTGCAACATCCGTCATCTTCTTGTCTAATGTATTGAGTTCTATGACAGCGTCTGCTAGTTCTAGTGCCCATTTGTCATCACTTGGAATATGTTTTCCTGTAGCGGTATAATGGTTGTGAGAAATTTGGTGAGATATCTGTGCTTCTTGAAGCATGATTTCTCCGGGTGATTCCTTTCGAGTCTGGGCGTAAGATACCAAACGCGCCATTCTGGATGCGTGATCGGACGCCGGCATAGGATGCAAATCAATAGGATTCCCGCTAAACCATCCTAAGTAGCTGGCAAAGACTCCTCTTATAGACCATGGTACAGAACCGTAATGTTCCTGTAAATTTGGATGTTTTCTAACCATTTCTGGAAGTTGTACTTTCTCGACAATTTGATCTGGAAAATACCCTTTGTTTATCAGCCTTAAGGTTTGGTCGTGGATGTATTTAATAGCATCTCTGTAGATCAACAATGTATCGTAGACTTCTTCCTTTCCCTCCACAGGTCTGGTATGAGAGCCGATAAGATACTTTCCACCGAGCGCCCTTGTTTTATCCAAACTGGTATACCAAATCTTTGCATCGCGAGTAGGACTTCCGCGTATAGCATAGATATTAGGAAAAGTTTTGTAGATGTTATCACCGGGGAGAACAGCTCCAATTTTCGGTATCCAAACTGTAGTCTGATCTTTCGTCTCTCCGGGTGTATGGATAAGTTCAAATTCAATACCTAAGATCAATTGTTATTGGTTACTTAATGAGCCGTAATAGATTTAATTATCATAGAAATTCACGTACTTGTTTCAATAAGTTAGAAAAAGACGTAAAATTGTGATTCACCTGCTACGTTATAGGAAGCTCGATTTGAATAGGTTTTTGTCGGTGCGGTAATGATAAGATTTGTATCTACGCCAACAAGTAATTCTGGTCCAAGTCCAGCACCGGTACGAGCATTAGGAATTTTAGGCACTATCGATCCCAGTTGCCGTAATCCACGTGTGATACCGATGTCATATGTGTCAGCTGAAATTTTAAATAAAATTACAATGAGGCTTCGAGTAAATTGTGGAAATATTTTCTGTTTCAAACAAAGGTGTCTGACTCTTTTGTGTTCATTATTTTTTACCACTAATTCTTATAGTTTATTTCATCATCGCCAGGGCAGTACTTGGTCACTTGTAGTAAAACTTTGTCACAAGTGTTGAGCCCAGTCTACATCCTTTGTGGAGGTACGAGCATGAAGTACCGAGTAGCCTACGGAGTACCTGAGAGTTTCTTTACTTGTTTAATGATTTTTGTCAAAGAGATACACTTACAAAATTCAAACATTAGTATTTTCGTCAATTCATGAGCGTAAATGTCAATGGTAGCGTTTGGCCGAACTTTCTTTTCCTCTTCAAGAATATAACTGGTACCCATGTGATGATCTGTAACATATTATTATTATGGGATTGGAAAATATACACTGCGTGATAAAATATTACGAATGTTTGTATCAATCATATTTGGTTTTATTAAGACGCTATGTTTTTGAATAGCTGAATTGAGTATATATTTCACATTCAAGATTAGTAAAAAAGAAGTGCGGGCAATTATCTTGTGAATTATTCGCAATTCTAGAGTGTTTTTGAATTAGGATGCATGCAAATAGAGCACCCGCATGACTGAGTTTCGTTCACTCTCTAGTCTCTAGTGTGTCCTTATGATCTTGAAGAAATATTAATTATTGAAATAGCACATATGTATTATTGTATTATAATTTTAAAATCTCTGACCAAAATTTAAACTACTGACCAGTGTGAAAATGGGTGTATATAACTGCTCGGAGCGGCTTGTTGGTGATTTTACGAAATTCCGTCCAAATTTTTTTCATGCTTGTGGTAGCCTCCGTTGTATCAACAATAATAATGCCGTCATCACCTGAAATATTATTTGTTTTGACTGAATGAAATGATAAAATTGTATAGACGTATGTAAAATAATTATAAAGAAGTACCGAAAAGTGTACAAAACGTTGTTCTAAAACATTCATAACAATAACGAGTGCAGTCAGTACCTTCTATCATAATGCTGTTGCCAAGAGCAAATCCTATTGCAACGTAGATATTTTGATCAACTTTGAGGATTTCTGGAGTTAAAAATTCCGACTTCGTGAAAGCTACGAGCGCTTTAGAGGATTCCGTTTCGTCACTCATTTTTGCCAATGTTTTGGTGAGATATTGAAATTTAACACCGTTTCCAGATGCTTCTCTGCTAGAATTTGCGACTGCCATATAGGCCACCGCGGTAACGAGCGCCACCGTCAGGCTTGCTATCAACACGGTTTCTTTGGTTACCATGGCGTATTTTAGTTATTCCTAAACTATGAAACTTAATTGAACCAAAACAGATTATTAATAACGAAAGGGTAATAGAACAGATATTGCTGCTTAAAACTAATCCGTAAGTTATATAATAGTACGACATGAAATAAAAAAAACATCACTTATTGAGGTATTGCATTATTACTTCCAGCAAAATTCAGTATTTTGCTAAACAGCTGAGCATGAGCATTTGAATAAGCATGTACCGGCATTTTTATGCAGCGTCATGAATGTAAAATAAACTGCTAGATTTATTCACATAGAATAAGCGGAATTCATGAACAAACTAAACCATTGCAGAAACGTATCGAGGGTATGGCAGCCATGGCTCGTGTCGTGGGCGCCGTGTGGATAGAGCGCCAAAAGAGCGAAAAGTTTTGATTGTAAAATGTTCCAATAAAATTAAAACTCGTATTCTTACTTAAATAATAACTTAAAAGCATCCCTATGATTTTCTCAATTTAAAAACAGTCCTTAAAAATTGTCAGTCAACGATCGAGGGACGAATATTTAAACTTTGCCATGGGCGCCATTTTACGCGAATACGCCACTGACCATTAGTATGATTTTCCTTTCTTAGCATGCCAGCGTTATTTTTGATCGAAACCGTTACAAAGTCACGAAGCTCACATATATTTCATATACTCTCTTGTTCCATATCCTGAGTTATCGCAAGTAACATTTGAATGAATTGAAATGAGAAAAAGGACGACTTATATTCATTTGCAGATATCGAGGTGATTTATCATGTCTATCAAAGTTTATTTTTAACCTGTCGATCCGCTGAAATTTTTCAAATATTGCGTGTGAGATTTTTTTAATTACACAATTGGAAAATATATATCGTTCTTTCGCGTTCGATCAATTATTATATATTGATTATTGAAGCTGCAAAAGTGTATACAAAGTGCAACACACTTTAGGAAAATAGCGCTTACAGTTTGCTTATGATGGTACTGCACAGGCCCAGCCAAATAATTATCTCGAAGTAAGTACGCTGATAATTTGGTTAATATTATTACAAAAAATTTTATGTATATATAATAAACATAATGATCAGCTTACGTGGACGGCAATGTTAGGTCACTTGCAACTAAAAAATTAATTTGGTTTTGCTTTATTATTTTATAAAAATCACCCGCTTTTTGAATGGACAAATGCTATTTCGTCTGATCATGTTTTTTACATTAAGGCGGAAAATATGGTAAGTTATAATACACGAAACTAATGTCGTGATAATTTGACATTATGGTCATTATACTTTATAGGAAAAAAAATATTATTTCCTATGTATGAGCGGCATTCATTTATAATCAATCATTAGTTAGGTATTCATTCATTGATATCTTACGAATAAAAAATATTTGCAGCTTTGTATCTCGCGCAATGCTTTGCGGCAACCAATCAATGTAACGTAATATTCGTTTTGTATTTTGCAATTTTCTCAGTGCGTTTATCGTTTGTTTTTGCCATGGCAAGATTTATCTCTCGCATTTCTCGTACATAAATATATCGTCATTCCTACCAAACAGGAATGAGATTTTATCATTTTGTGGTATTGAAACAAAAGCGTTAAACGATGTCAATTTTGAAAATCTTTTTTGCGTTTTTGGTAGAACTGACATTAGTTAGTCGTTTGCTGCACTTCATACTTTGCAACTTCTTTTGATTTGAACTTTAATCTAATTGTTAAAAATAAAATGTATTTTAGGAAACCATAGAACAACAACTAAATTAATAATAAAAATTTGACTTCCGGTGAAACCTTTGACCTAATTTTTCAGCATACGCATGAAGAATAATCATTCTTTCGCATATTGTTAATAAATCAGAATGTGTTAGATTGGTTTCTATATTCGTCATAAAATCATTAATCTTCAAACATCTGTACAAAAATGAGATAATTATTAGAACTTTCGTAAACAATATAATTAATTATGGAAGCATTAAAATATATATCCTTTATATATCCTTTATATTACATTTTCTGTGACAACTTTTGATCAGTTGTCGTCTAATGACAAATCAGACTGTTTTACATTAAATATTTATTGATAAATCACTGCAAGTACTTTGCTCAAGTTATTTTTCGAAGAAATTGTGAACTTGATGATTACATAAAAATCCTTTTTCTTGTTGCCGATAAATATATTTTTTAGCACTTCTATTTGTAAGTATTGATTCCAGAGGTCGATCAATGGCAGGTGAGAAATCACAGATTTGCAACCTTGCGGAATATATAAAGATTTGTTCATCTTTAGCACAACTATCGTTACGCTGTCATGAAATTTTTTCGCTTCATCAACTGCTATTGGTGAACAATTCAAAGAATAAGTGATATGACGTGTTTTCACATTTCTGTGGAGCAACATTTTAATCAGGTAACATCAGTTCTGGGAAACTTGTCAAGAACTCATAGAACCTTAATCGCTTTGAAATAACTCTCGTTTACGTTACTCCGCAGATGCTGCTCCAATAACAATCAAAAACAGTAACAAAATAGTAGCGTATTTAGTTAATGCGATTAGTAGGGATTAACTAAGGAAATTACGCACTTTGCTGTACGTATTAATGACTTCTGAAAACCTGTAAATTGTTGAAGTTTAATGATCTGAAATAATAAATCATTCTCAGTATGTATCTGGTCTCTGGAAAATTCCCAGATGAACTCTCGAAAGTTGTTATGTTATGATGTCTGTTGAATATAATAACAAGTGGCCATTAATTATAATCTGTATTAAGAAATATTTTTAAACGTAACTATATCAATCCAAATGCATTCTGCCGTGGGTATTAAAGAATAATCCTAATGTACGAAACTCTACTAGTCAAACACTTTCCATTATATATCTATGTAGCTGCGAGAGTATTGATTAAACAGAGTATTGATTTTGATAGTGGGATAAGCTTTGTGTCTTATAAAATACCCGAAATTTGAGAAACTTTAATAATAATTGCACTAAGGTGTTAACAATAAAATTTTAGTCACCATTGTCTTACATGTTAAATTTACATGTTTGATAGGTCAATTAGGCCAGTGATCGAGTGTTCAATAAATTTCTTCATTTGATCGTTAGGTGGTGACAAAGAGTCAAAATAATGAAATAAGGAAAATCATTGTGCTTGCATCAGGAAACCTTCGCATTTTAAAGCCAGATGCAACATTATTTTGTTTCAAGAAGTACACATTAAAAATAAAAATATAGAATAAGAGGGTATCGAAGAAATAAATACAGTTGATATAAGTTTATGTTGTCGGACTGATATGAGTCGTACAATGACCGCTGGAAATCTTTATATGTATATAGAACAAGATGAAGGGGGAAGCACTAAAATACGGTTCCATTACATTTGAACCCACGTACATTTGAACCCATGACAATTGCACCTGTATGCTATTGCACCTATGGAATTTTTTTTGTTTCACGGATAGTTAAACCCATACTAACCCTAGCCCATGGGTTTTAGCACCCGCATATAGATTGAACCCGTGGATATACGCATGGGTTCAAATGTACACGGGTTCAAATGTACGGTCACCCTAAAATACATCCGCCGGGTACTTCAAATAAACCTTAAATTATTTGTGGCTAACGTCCAAATGTAGTTTCAATCTCTGCAACGAGTTAGCCCCATTAAGTTTGGTTTCTTCTGAATCATGATCCATACCGAAGCACAACATTATTTAATTCTATCTATTGTCTTCTAATGTATATTAGAAGTACTACTTAAATAAATGGTGAAACGTGAACATATCAAAAGTTCCACTCGATTTGCAATGAAATCTTGGTGCGTGTTTTGGGTTTATTTCTAATGTCGAATTTGTTAAATTATCGTAACTTCAAGGTGGTGATAGAGAAACAAAGTATAACAAAATATTCTCTCAACTCATCAAACGAGATTAGCGCACACTGGAGAGCGATATAGAGCAGTTTTTGTAAGCGGTGTATGGCGTAGAGCTTTCCCAGGTTGGAGACGTTATTGTTACTTATTTTTCTTTTAAACAAACATACATAGCTAATCGGATTATACATATTTTAATAGGCGAATCGTTCCAGTACCGTAGAGAATTCACTGTTTCCATTGGACGCACTTTTAGACCCGGCTATTGTTCCGTAGGTAATCTATCATTTAAAAAATAAATATAAAGGGCATATTGTTTATGATAATTGTCCGGTAATGGGCCCGTCGTTGATCCCATAGTTTGGGAATGGATTGCTTCAAGTGAGATAATCACGATCGATAATTACCTGAGTTTACCTTTCCAGGTAGCGGTGTGAAAAGAATCGTTCATGTGTTGTGTCTGATATGCTTAAAGCCGGAAACGACTGTATAGGAATTTTGGCTTATTGCACATTGTCAAATGCAAAATCAATTTGGTTATTTTATTTAAAATAGATCTCTCATACAACAAAGTATTCCAGTTCCTGATTATACAAACACTTAATTGAAATAGTAATAGATAGAGCATGCGACTGAAATACAATCTTGTAGACAGTATCCAAACTCACTATGCCTATCTCAAGTCGCCACGAGTAATTTCATTGATGTTTTAAATATTAAAGTTAAATTTTCTCCGTTATTGAATTAATTATGGAACATTATTATTCCTTTTTATTTATTGTTTATATGAATAAACTTAAGCAACGAATAAACTGTTTTGTATATTGCTTAAACAAACTTTCGAGTATCGGCATTCACTCTATTAGTTTTTTTTTATATATATATTCAATTGTCAGCATGCCTAGGATAGCAGGTTTAGGGCGAAAAACTGCACGCATGGCCTGAGAATGCGAATATTTCTTTTCTGTAATATCAAAAAATAAATACGTTTGTAAAATATTTCGCCACATTAGTTTAATAAATTCTCCAATGTTGTCTATTGGTAAACATGGATGCCCAAAGTGGCGAGCATGATTTCAAGGTGATCACGTGATATCTGGATATTACCAAGGTATTGTGAAATACAATCAGGCATCATTGCTTCTGCCTACTGAGTGCTCACTGTTTACTTTTCGAACGTATTCATTTAAAATAGTGATAAATTTAATTTCCACTGATATAACTCGCGCAAATCAAAACTTATCTGTTTGGGAAACGCTTTAAAAGTGGAATAGGTAATTGCCGAATCCGATAAATTAGATAACAGCTTTTAAAATACTGTTTGAACGGTGCCCGTGCAGCTCTCTATTATATTTTTTCTGTGAGCAACGAACAAAAGAAGCCTCGCAATAAAAGAGAGAGGCCGCTGCGAGCGGTTCGAGTGAGATAAACCGCGTTCGGCGACCTTTTTTCTCCGTCTGTTATATTCGCTGCGCGAAGCCGCAAATTGCAGTTGAGTTTGTGGGTCGCCGTGTGGAGAGGTGGAAGATGTTCGTATTTATATTTCAGTATATGCAGTGCAGCTGGTCTACAACACAGAAAGAGAACTCAGATTGGAAATAAATTTATATGTTAACTATCGCATATATCATTTGATTTTGATTTTAAATAATCAAATGCATTTTTGTTGCAGACATAAATATAAGACTAATAAAAAGCAAGTGACTTGCCTATGCTTTTCCTAAGTAACTAAGCGTTTCATACATGTTTAAAGCAATTGACAGAATATCCAACGTAACTGTAAGCCGTCCTACATCGTTGGATAATACTTCATATACCGACGTTAATCGCAACAGCTGTAAACAAGTACTACGAAAAACTAGTGAAATGGCGCCAGAAGCACACACTCGATTCGGCAGTCAATACAAGGAGTTACCGGCCTCATCACCTGATGTTATTCCAAACTCTGAAAAAAACGAATTCAATCGCGAAACGAGATTAAAATGTGTTTTACTTGGAGATGGTGCAGTAGGAAAAACAAGCCTTGTCGTCAGTTATACCACAAACGGATATCCTACTGAATATATTCCAACAGCTTTTGATAATTATTCTGGTGAGCATCTATAATGTTTTTAGTAAATCATAGCATTGGAGAAATTTGTAATTCTATATAAATAAGCTGACAGAAAAATATTTTCATACATATAATAATTCCTTATTTTTATATTTGCAGTTCGAATTCAAGTTAACGAAAACCCCGTCCGGCTTCAACTGTGTGACACAGCTGGTCAAGTAAGTAATCAAAATTTTTATTTATTGTTTTGTAGTTAGACTAAAACGTGTGTATTTCATTAAATTTCGCAATCATCAGGTCTTATCCGACTGAATGATATATTTTTGAAAGTTGACGCAAAATTTTTCAATAAAATTAAACGCGAATTTTTCCATCGCTCTGTGGTCGCCTTCAGCAAATGTCAATTTTGGTATTCATTAACTCGGTTGAAATTGAGCGCAACTGTGCTTATTATTCGGGGCAATAGACCGAAGGCGGATTTTGGAATCGCTCGACCAGAAGAAAATGTCGACATATTTCGCTTCACTGAAATGGTTGATATAGCATCGGTTGATATACTTTGCCATTGTCTCCAACACACTCCGTAAGCAATAGGTCCATTAAAAAATTTCGCTTCATGATCAATGAAATACTGGCGTACAATAACGCACTTCGAAAAAAAAATGTTGAGAATATATTTCTCAACTTTCATCAATTGGTTGTAAGGTAAATTTTAAGATTAGCATTGAGCTTGCCGAATATGGATTTTTGACTGTTGAACGTTAAACGATTCCCGTTTTAAAATTGTTTTATAGCACTTATACCCATGGGAGCTTTTCGGCAGTGCTTGACGATTTTACCGCACGGTTGTCGATTGATAGTTAATGGACTGGCACTTACATCGGCATGCTTTTCCGAACGTATATTTATGTAGAAGTACATTGTTTAAATTTGGTGGCCGACACGTCGGGCATCGTCTGTGTTTTGTCCTTACATCGCGAAAACATCAGCCCATATTAGGATGTCTTCATTCCTTATTTTTAATAATTTAGCAGTTGCCATAAATGGCTCCGTACAATCTTGCTTTTAGAAAAATGTCGCGTAACAATAGCTATTCGGTCAATGTATACTGTATAAAATTGCAACGATGATTCAAATTGTTAAATTCAAACTAATTTAACACCAGAAATGTATTTGAACACACTTGAAACGCCTGACAAAATTATTCAAATGCAATATCGCTCACCCTTTGCAGCTGGGGGTTGTGATTGGCGAGCAATGAATGTTATTACACATTAGGATTATGGCTTCAAAACTTTTACTTCGACCTCCTTTCCCAGATGGCTTGATATATTAATAAAAGATTTAATATTCTAATATCACCTCATAAATCCTAGCCCTTCACAGAAGTTATCACGTTGGATTAGGGCACTATTTAGTAGGTAACTTAGTCCGGTAGATTTACAATGCAATTACGGCGTATACAAAGTTTATTTTATTTTATGATTTCATTGTGTTTAATAATAACTTGGAGCATTAGAATCACGTATTGTCAGTCTAAGTCTACGGTCCAGGATATGTGTGTATTATTGTGAAACTGAGTATGAATTAGTTAACCAAATAATAAGACCAAGACACACAAAACCAGGCGTCTAAGTGTCAACATTGTGGTTCATTCACCTTGAATATTATACCTGTACCTATTGTCAATTGTTGTCAAGAAATCCAACTGGACAAGTATGGTGGCATAATAAACGAATTTTTCAGTCGCGGTTTTACATAGGCCATGGATGTGATACTCTGATAGTTATCAATATATCAGTAGTCATATTGAATTGAAAAAGATTTGATCTTGTGTTAACATTCGCCCAACTCAACCTTTGTACTTATGATATATACTTCCGATCGTTTCTTTCATCAACTTTACGCCCAGGTGGTAATGTAAACTCGCTTTTAACAAAAGAACAAACATGACCGGGATTTTATTGATGAGCCGCCAAATCGAAGTTACTTTATTTACATTTCTCGGATATTGGGACCGATAGCTTTGAATCCTTTGTATTGGAGTCACAGTCATATACGCCCTTCCTATACGTCGCTTTAATTTCCTTGCTACGTAATTTGAAAGGTTTTGAAAAGGGAATAAATTGTGACCTGTTATCTGATTAATAGCTTTCGGGTCATTCATAATTTTGAAAACGGGGCAAAGTCGACTTTATAGCTACCTTTACTCCAAGGTTTGAAATCGAAATTATGGGTTTATAATGGCAACGCGAGGAGATGTAAGCTGTGTTTAAAGATCATAAATTGTCTCTTTGTTCAAGATAATTTTCGATGCACCTCCTTCCGTTTAGGTAATTATACCGCCCCGAGCAATTCGCCCGCTCGATTTGATCGCTCGAACACCAATTGCTTGTTTGGATGATGAATATAGAACTTAATTTGATGTAATAATAAGCAGTGGTATTATGCTCGAAAACCAATTTAAAACCGATGTTTTGAATGCGCAAGCCGAGCTGATAACCATTTAGCAGCCAGAGCTCATCAAAGGGGGCCATGAGCGCCGTAATGAATATAATCACCACCGTGTTTCCTGAGAGGCTTCAGCTGATTTATTTTATCATATTACGCTTTTATAATCTTACACGTTCAATAATGCGGATGACTTCAGTGCTTTATTCAGCTTCGCCTTCAATAACGGTATTTATCATAAATTTTAAGAATCGCCGACCATAAGCATGTGGTAGTTGTTTTTCAAAATATTCGTCAGTTCATCTGGTATACGATAACATAATAGATGGTTTGCTTTTTCTCTATCCGATATGATTGTTTATAGCTATCGTAATTGTTGTTTAGAAATGTATTAGTTCAATCGTTTGGTTAGAAGTAGTGCAACGATCTAGCGATATCACATTGTCCATGTATTATTACGTAGTATCTGATTGAAACGGTATATAGATCGAGTTATCGAATCGTTCTAGTTTTCAATTTGTACCCCAGCTGGTAATTTTCGACACACGGTTTTCGCACTTTCGTTCGAAGGTAACTTCGCACTGTTATTCACGGGTTGTCAAAGAATAACAACACGACATGTGACCTTTCATGCTTTCGTCAGCTAGGATTGGATTTGATGAACAAAACATCATGTCACTTGGTTTACGTTGCCAGTTTCACACGATGCAATTATTGTGGTAAAGGATCGCAGGTGTAATTAAATTCGTTTATGACCTATACGTAACAGGTACTTTCTGACATCGCGTAAATTTAATGAAACACACACATCTATATATGGCTGTTGCTGACGTCTACTTACTGAGAATCAGCTCTTACGTTTATGCTTGACGAATTTTATTGCTGTAGGCATTTTGTTTGTTATGAACCTTTTACTCTTTGCTGATCAGTTTTTTTTTAATCTTTTTGCAGGACGAATTCGATCATTTGAGGCCACTGTGTTATGCCGGAACCGATGTTTTCATCGTTTGCTTCAGCGTGGTTCGACCAACATCATTTCACAATATCCGAGAAAAATGGTGGTCGGAGATCAAACGTCACCACCCCAAAACTCCAGTTGTTTTGGTTGGCACACAAAGCGATTTACGTAGCAGCGTTGACGTCTTGATCGACCTGGCGCGCTTCAGTGAAAAGCCAGTATCGGAGGAAGAGATCCAACAACTTGCCCACGATATTGGAGCCGTACGATACGTCGAATGTTCCGCACTTACGCAAAAGAACTTGAAAGAAGTTTTCGACACATCAATTGTTGAAGCTATGGAACGTCACGAACGGACTTTACGCAAAAACGCGAAGAAAAGTCGTTCATTTTTGCACGGCGGAAGCCGCGAAAAAGCTCAGCGTAAAGCCAAAGAAATGCGTCGTATTTCTGTAGCATGGTGGAAAAAATACTGCTGCATGGCGTGAACTGACACCGAAGACTGTGAAAACACAACACGCTAGGGCGGTTGTGTCTGTGTTCAGTTTTTGAGCGCTAAAAGCGCCGGTGCCGAACAGCACCAATTTACAGAATAGATAAGTGAGCTATTTTATGCTGTACGGTAGTTTCTAAAACAACCGAACTTTCTAAGTGAGCAAGAACTCTCATTTGTTATTATTAACAGTTTCCGACCATATGTTCGCAATTTATTATTTTTTCCTTAAATGATTGAAAATTTGTTATGAGAACTTTTATCACCCATGTAATTTGACCATTTTCTATAGACCAAGCTTGATAAAAGTTGTCTATGTCGTCCTTGTTGATTTGTTTTTGCTGCTCTAGTGAAAGGCCGTGGTCGGACGAAGTTGTTTGTATAACCATCGCAATTTGCCTGTGTATATTATCATTAATATGCATTTACACTGTGGTATATTTTGTCTGTCTGTACTGTATTCAGACTATGGACCGTAATTTATGTTATTAAAGTTGGCAATTCGGTCAATTCCCCGTAAGAATTATTTTAGGGCTATAAACTTTTAGGGTAACGTTTCATTTACCACTTTGAAATGTTATAATTTGGTAATCAGAAAATGTTACGGTTGATTGAGAATTCAATCACATGTTTTATGGCGTTGACAACTCTGTGTATAAATAAAAGAATATATAATATTAAGTCCAATGCTGGTAAGTTGGGCGACGTCCGGCGAGCCTAGACGTTACACTGTGTTATACGTACTGCATATGCCTTTTCATCCCAGCATGTTCAGTCATCATTTTATAGCCTTTCTGCTGGATGAGTGCCACACGGACCAAATGTAAAATTTCACATACAAGTCCTTTTTACCATGTAGCGAAATGTACTTCACTGCAATGATGATGTCATAATGTTACGAGGCACTAAGTTATTTATCTTTGTTTTTTTCTTCAACATTATTGTTTTTGCGTTGTTCTTCTGTCATTATCATTATTATTTCTCTTTGTTATTCTGTGGCATTCTACTAGTACGCCCAATGCAATCTTTTTTTCGTAAGTACTTTAATTCTGCTGATAGCAATCTTACAAACAAATAAACAAAAACAAATGAAATATTTATGTATATCCTATATGAAAAGTGCGGCTAATGAGAGGGTTATAGGTACAGAACGTTGTAAGGTAGCACAAAGACTGGGGGATTCAATGCAGATGCCCGCATGACATGCTGCATATAGGAGGCCCATCCTCATATGGTAACTTGTATTGAAAAGGTCGAGTTATTTCGTCACGAAGTAAAAATTCGAAGTCATAAAACTCTTTTCGGTGAGTCAGTTACTCGTTGGTATAAAGGCTTTTAGATGGTGCTTATATATCGGGAGCCGGATTGATTTTTCATTCAATTCACATCAATTTCTAGTTGTCGTCAGAAATTGCTTAGCAATCCATCAAGATTTAAAAATTCCAGCCTCCTGGACGCAATCGATAAATTGTATTTCAAGCATCAGCTATTGCTATTCATAAATAAGTCCGATCAATACGACTGAACGATATATCGATTATAACGTGGCTACGGACGTTTAATAACCAATACGCGATTATCGAGCAAGGTTTAATAATTTCATGAACAGGAATACAAATGACATTCGCCAGTGATTTAAGAAATCGTATGCTAACTAACAGAAATTGATTTGTTAAGCAAGTTCATTGAGAAACATGAGTTAATCATAACATGTACGTAATACCGTATGTACTGTTACGATTGTGGAACATCACGAGGCATCCAGTCATTTGACCTTGCCTCACGACAACCTGTAATTGAAGTCATTGAAGCGTATTATGATGGTAAAATTGTGCGTTACAGAGGTAGAAAATGACTTGGGTTCCTCGTTCATCATTACAACACATTCTTTTACGTCTGACCTAACTGAAATCATAACTTATGTCAACGAAAGCAATCTTACTTATTTCCATTCCTAGTGAGTATGAAATATGTGTGAATCGCGCAAAATATTACATCTTTGTGAAGAACACGAAAGGGCGTGATTAAACTCTGCCTTTGATGTCGCTTGAAAAACATGTTGTACGCCATGTTAACAGATGTTTTCCGTTTTTGAATTAGTTACAATTTTCACGGACTAAGTTCGCATGATGAATCGATTTGTTCTATTAATTAATCTAATTAAAAATCAAAGAATACGTAAGGATTACACTTTGTACATGGATAGGAGTGTATTACTGAATGAAAACTAATTTTGTTACGATGTTAATTGAATTATTGACCAAGTTTGTTATTTCTTAGATATCACAAAAAGGATTACCTTATAAGGGGGCGCTGATCACTGATTTTGTTTGACATGTACTCGGTGTGAGTTGTGAGCGAGTGGCGCAATATTATCTTTTAACTGGAACTCAAGGGGACTTTTTGCTTTATTTCTAATACTAATCAGTGGGATTGCGCAAGATTAATCATTTGTGTTAATATGCAGCACGACTCTTGGATCAAATAGTATATTCGGTGCCGTTTTGTCATAGTGGATGTTGGTTTCGTCACTTCAAAACGACTGTAATATTGAAATGAAAGCGTAAATTATTTGAATCTTATTTTCAAAAACCTTAATTTAACCAAAGACCATGTCGACACGTTTACTTAAAAATTGGAATTTCTAACTTGTTGAAAATTGCTTCATCAAACTCTAGTTGTGTGTTGTAATAAAACTATGAAATGGGCTACCAGACGCATTTGAATGTCGTGTGTTTTTTGGAATCTGTATTACGTTTTCTGGTCAGCTTTGGGGAAACCAAATTTTGAACAACCAAGTGTTTTACACTACAACTCAAGCGAATGTAGTTGTCATAGTACAAGTGAAAGCGGAAACCGCGTTATTATATTATCAATGTTCAACCCTATTTGCATCCATGGGAAAGTATTCCAAATAGCGACATTACTACTTTTTAGTTCAAATGAACAATGGCGTTCAATGACTTATTATATTCGCGTTAATGTTCATCGATGGAGAAAATAGAAGCATCGCTGGAGTTTTAACGAACGAGAAGCATACAAACCGAGCATGGGCTCGTAAATTGTATCGCTAATTCTAAATTTAACACCAATTGTATTTATTCGACAGTACGTGTGGTATAATCTTTTTTAACATATAATATAAAGTAGTAATAAAAAAAGAGCGTAAAGATTGAAATGCTGTCATACGGCTATAATTTTTTCTTCTGCATTCGAAGACGCGAATTGGGAATTTTTTTTGGTGAATATACGCTTCGATAGCAAACAATAGGTGTGACAAAACTAGAGTAAAAACGATTGTGAACGACACAAACCTTTTGCGGACCTAACATAATATTATCGCTTAGGAAACCAATCTCAAGTCAAACCAAAATCACTATTAAGCTCTTCCGAATTCTCGCTGTTAGGGAATTCAAATAGCGTTGTTTAAAATCATAAATGTTGTTTCTGGTAATTACACGTTTTACAATTTTACAAGGTTAGATGCATACATCAGGTGATTATCAAGACAGAAGTACATTTGTGACTCTCAGCGACACTAGACATGCAATTAGCATCCACCATGAAAACCACTCACGAACGACTTTAAGAAACAATCACAATGGGCCCGCATAACAAATGCATAGAGTATACCAGTTCGCGACCGATTTAGGTCCCGCGCCGGAAGAAAAATATTTATAATGCGCCTTGATAAAAATTAACAATGTAAGTTGTATATTATTTGATAAAAACAACCAAGGTACTTTAAAATCTTCAGTTCTAACAGGAAAAAGATCGATTTTCTGAGATAACACTAAAAAATTTTGATCAATATAAACTAGACAAAAAGATGTGAATATTTATTCTGGAATCCATTCTATTTCTTCGAAAGCTAAATTTCGTCAACAGTACGAAACGAATTTTTGTTAATGATCTGAAGTAACGCATTACACAATCCATATGCAAGTTTTCTGTGTATGTCTATGGCATATGTACAATATGTTATTATAAAATTCAAGTATTTGCGTTAGAAAATATTCAGGAAATGCCACTGGTTATGATGGCCATATGTACTATGCGCTAGACGTCTATTTTATTCATTCATTTAAGTTCAAGACATCCCGCTGCGGTTCAATACAAGTTAGGTTCCCTTCCCACGAACTAATATCAAAATTTAATCCGATAACCAGAGTTTATTGAGGAAATAACAAATCGTTGTTATTAATCCACCAGGATGAACGCTCGACCAAACACAATTGTACCACCAAGTCGATTCAGTTCAGTGAAAAACTATACAGTACTGTTAAGTTATCTTCTTTAACTTGCAATGGCCTTATGGCTCATATGATTTTAACTGAGTCATTTTCAATTGAGGCAGTATCCCGTATTACTTTGGAAACCGCAAGGGTGGACCTCCCACCAGTTCACATAATTACAAAAACGTTTTCTCACAAAAATCGTCGTAAACAATCAACAATGCACAGTTCAGTAATATCATTTGTTGCGTCACTATAAATCTATACTTAATTCTTATTCCGGTTTATTTGTCACGCCCCTGAATAGAAAATACCTCATATGTTCTCAAGAAATCGTATACAGCGGAAGACGAATCACATGCAACCGAATATCTTTGATTTTAAGTCTTGAGTAAACTAAGGTACAATGACGTTATAATCACGCTAAATTGTTGATTTCTTACTAAAGAGAGAAATGGACCCTAAATGGCTGTCGAATTTTATTGTGATCGTCGCGGGGTTAGATCGTAAGAAATCATTGGTGTATTACGTAACAATTGCACGTTTGTTTTGTCTTTGTTCTGGCTGGTGTGAAATCAACAAATTTGTCTTGTTTTTTTCGCCAAGAAAGAGAAATGAGATTTCTCCACCACTTTTTATTTATTTTTTCAAAAACAAGCCACATTTGTTCACGTTCTTCAATATTACATAGAAAAATATTTGCTGCAAAATTAAATTAATGACTTATATGTTGAATTTATATTGAGTTTGCCGCCACGTCGAAAATATTGATTTGTATTTGTTGTCTCTCCATGTTATAAAGTAATGGAAAGGCTGGTCGCAAACCATTTCCCTAACTTCCCTAAAAGTTGATGTTTAGGTGAATTAATGCGTTGGGTCAACCAGTCATACGAGGCACTGGTTTCACGTCTCACAAATCAGTCATAGTCTACTATATCATATGATTTGTTGACAGTGTTTAGCAAAGGTAGGAAATGAAAGTTTACTAAGTGGGAGATTAAGAAATTAAATTTGAAACGTTGATGACGAATGATGATTTAAACATAAACATAAGTGACTTGCTTAATTATCTGATGACACTTGAATTAATGAAGCGAACACGATGTTGTTGTTTTTGAGCTTCACAAAAGAAAGCGAGCGTGTGTCTTTTCTCCCTACTGTTTGGAAATGGAAATTTCCTATTGTTGATCATGAAGCATTTAAAAAACATGGACCCCTGTAAAGTTTAGTCTCATCCATTGATTGTTCTTGGTCGCACATGGACTAACACAATACCACTATGTGTGTGTATTTTCTACATTTATCAGTAATCATATTATTGCTCAGTAACCGAATATATTGGGTTGCAGTTCGTGTGGCATCTACGAGATCCGTGGTGTCACGTCACCCAAAGGCGCCAACTCGTCCCACAAAGTTGGCCATATTAAATAAATGGAAGAAATTCGGATTCACGGATCTATGGACGGGGTACTCCTCTAACATCGGTGAAATTTTACGAAAATTGTTTGCCATTTTTCAGCAGTGAGTGTGATACAGGAAAATTTTTCGAATAAACATATTATGAAATTATAGAGGGTACTATCATATTGTGTATTGAACTTCAGACCTCTCGTAGAACTAAAATATCTCGTTTCTTGTTATTTTGTCTAAAATTATATTAATCAGGTAAATATCATAAAACGATTACACTGTAGCACATTTTAAACAATAAACTCCTTAGTTACACTGATTATGGTTATTATATACAACATCGGGGGAGAATAATTAACGCTTTTTCCCACATGTTTCTCGCCACAGGTAGTGAATTCGGGTCGCCAACGATGGCGGTTGTCTCTTCAGTCAGTCCCCCGTGAGAGATC